TAATCAAAGGTGGAACCCTCCCAAACAGGCTCAATAACTCATGTTGGATTATTAGGATTGAAGTCAACCTGACCGGGCCCAGCTCAACTTGCATCCCTAGTCATATTGTGTAGCCATGGTTGTACAAGAACTCATTAGTCAATTAAGTTTATCTACAACACATTTTGTTGTTTTCCACCTTCACCATCATGCTTCCTTTTGCTTGGACAAGTCAGTGATTGGCTGCCATGGCCTTCGTTTCTAGTAGCTCCTACTGTCTTCGTTACAGGGCTTGTAGCTATAGATGTCTATTATATTCATCTCACTCCAAATTTGAGAGATTCTGGTAAATCTACTCTACTGTTTATCAAACTAAGAGTCTGTTGGTTTGCAGTTGGAATTAGAATCGAAATCTTATTGAATCAGAATTGGAATGGTCTATTTTCATAGTGTATTTGGTTTAGACAAGAATTAAAATGAGAATTGGAATGGTCTATTTCCATAGTGTGTTTGGTTTAGATAGGAATCGGAATGAGAATTGGAATTAGTTGGAATGGGATTTCATTCTCAAGGGAGGGGGATGTAATGTCATTCCAGTAGGAATGGGATTCAGATTCCACCCAACCAAACTGTTAAAATTGGAATGGCTCATTTTAATTCCAATTCCAATTCCAGACCCATATTTCCACAAAACAAACAAATGGGACCTAAGATCATTAGGCCCCATTTCTTTTGTTGCTAGAATTGGGATCTACTATTTACATAGCACGCCTCACAACCACATCCCACTGGGAATATTTTCCCATGAACAATAATACAAATACGGGAGACATTCCCAATGTATGACTAGGAATGCTATGTGGTCGGTGTGAGGCGCATTCTGTGAGGAGCAGATCAGGTCTCTTGTCGCTAATATCTAACTAACAAGGCGTGCATGGATTTGTCCAATCCATATAAACACAACTCTGAAAATTCAGAATAAAAAAGAAAAGGTGGTAATTTGTAATTAGGGCTGTTCATAAGAAGACCCAACCCAACCAAACCGACCAACCTGGACCGACCCAATCCAAGTCGGTCGGGTTTTCTTCAGCACCGGTCGGTTTCGGGTTATAAAAATTCATAAACCGATGATTCGGTTCGGTTTTGGTTTTCATGTGTGAAAACCGATACCGACCCAAACCGAACCGACTTAGTAGTTAGTTCCTAGTTAGTAGTTACAACGTACTTAGTTCCTACTTAACTAAGTTGTCTCTATCCTAGTTACAACCTACTTAACTAAGTTGTCTCTCAAACTCTACTCCCTCCACAACTGGATCCATGGATGGACCACAAAACATTAAGGAAATGCTGGTTTCCTTTGAGAATGTAGAGCCAGAAATGAACACTTGAACAACAACTAAGTCACCACTAAGTAGAGCCGAAATCGACCCAAACCGACTCAAACCGATCAGGTCGGTTTTGCTTAACACAGGATTGGTTTTGGTTTCAATTTCAGGTAACTCGATCAGGTCGGGTCGGTTGGAAAAACATCAGTAAATCGACCCAACCCAACCCATGAACAACCCTATTTGTAATTTCACTTTACTATGGATTTGTCCAAATCAGTCTTCCAAAATTTATTACAAGTTCATGAAACCTTTTTGGATGCATAGTGTGGAAGTAGAGACCATATATATATTGCTATTTTTTTATTATTTTTAACAAATTTTACTATTTCAAATAATTTGGTTAGTTATTAAAAAATAGAAAATGAGAAATTATTTTAAAAATCCATTTAACAAGAATTACTAACAAAATTCTTGCAATTGAAGTAAGCCATTTTAAGAATAAATATATAGACAGGTTAAGGGGGTGTTTGATAACGCTTTTTAGAGGTTTGGTGTATGAAAAACTTGCTTTTTAGACATTAGACCCATTTGGTGTTGCTTCTCTCTTAATCTTGTTTTCTGATTTAAAATTTTAAGCTCGTGGGCCAACTCTTAACGTGCTCAAACACGTTTTAGAGCGAGCCCAAAGTCGAAAATACCCCCCCAAATTGGAAATGATGCGATTTTGCCCCTGTTAACCCCAAAACCTAAAACATTTTCCCATTTATGTTTTCTCCTTGGAACGGAAAAGAAGAGCATCTTCACGTTCGTCTCATTTAAAGATCGCCGCTCTTCTTGTTAAAGGTATCTTCTTCTTCTTCTTTAAATGATTTTGCCCCTGTTAACCCCAAAATCGAAAACATTTCTGCATTTGTGTTTTCTCTCTATAACAGAAAAGAAGAGCATCTTCATGTTCATCTCGTTTGAAGATCGTTGCTCGTCTTGTTGAAGGTATCTTCTTCTTCTTCTTCAAACGATTTTGCCCCTATTAACCCCAAAACCTAAAACACTTCTCCATTTGTGTTTTCTCTCTAGAACGGGAAAGAAGAGCATCCTCATGCTCGTCTTGTCTGAAGATCACCGCTCATCATCATCATCATCATCATCATCATCATCATCTTCTTCTTCTTCTTCTTCTTCTTCTTCAAACGATTTTGTCCTTGTTAACCCCAAAATCTAAAACATTTATCCATTTGTGTTTTCGCTCTGGAACAGGAAAGAAGAGCATCCTCATGCTTGTCTTGTCTAAATATCGTCGCTCGCCTCGTCACTGGTATCTTCTTCTTCTTCTTCAAACGATTTTGCCCCTATTAACTCCAAAAGCTAAAACATTTCTCCATTTGTGTTTTCTCTCTGGAATGGGAAAGAAGATCATCCTCACACTTGTCTCGTCTAAAGATTACCGCTCATCTAATAGAATGTATCTTCTTCTTCTTCTTCTTCTTCTTCTTCTTCAAACGACTGTTCATAGGGTTCTTAGAAAGTATACATGTTTTTGATTTTATTCTTATTTTTATTAATTATTTGAATCAAATAAATTATTTTTTATTTTTTATGATTTTTTGTATTAATTATAACTTATTTTAATTTTTATTATTGTTGATTAATTTAATATTTTTTATTAGATATTAGTTACGTATTTAGTAATTAATTATTTGTTTTTATTATTAATTATTAATTAGTTACTGATTTTATTAATTATTTTAATATTTATTTGGTGTTCATTATTTTAATATTATGTATTATTAGTTATAAATTGTTAATTATTAATGATTGACATTATTAATTATTAGTGTTATTTATTTTAATGCTTTTATTAGTTGTAATTTATTTTGTTTAGTTTTTTTGTATTTTTTAATTATTAATTATTAATTTCATTAATTTCGTATTAATTATTTTAATCCTTAATAGTGTTAATTATTTCAATTTTTATTAAACTTTATTTGTCTTTTTTATTTATTATTAATTATTAGTTATTTTTATTAATTGTTAATTATTAAATATTATTTTAAATTCGATAAATTATTTTATATGAAATAGTACAAATTGAACTCAAAATTACCAAATAGTCTATTCTAGGGGTAAAATAATAAAATTAGAAAATTTCAGATGTTAAAGGCTTGGTCCAACAGAAATAAGCTTATCTATTCAGACACTTTTAATATCTTTTAATATCTTTTTAACTTTTTAAACTTCATATTTCAGATTTATCAAATACCACCTAAATTTGCCATATATAATTACGAATATATAAAGTTTTTAGAATAAATACATTTTTAAAATAAATATTCCTATATACTCTTAAGATTTAAAAGTCCCTTTAGTTTGTGTAAATTTGATAGGTTTCTATGGTGATCGGCTCCGAAGGCTTGAAGAGAGAAGTTGAAAAGTATGGAAAATGGCTGGATCCTCAGTACGTGGAGTGAGAAGTTAGAGAAGACTACTGGTGAAAGAGGGAATTGTCTGTATTTACATTTCTTATTTAATACATGTTTTCTTAGGTTGATTATTAGTTTGGACCGGATCAGATGCATTTGGCCGGGTAGCGGTTTGTAAGTCTATATCTTACACTCTCAAGATTAAACATTTTTTTTTGAATAATTAAGCATAATTTTCTATATTTTTAGAAAAAATTCCCGCCATTATATTTCTCTTAAAAATTGGCATTAAGTGGTAGGAATGGTGATATAGGATTATAGAATTCTATAACTGGGATAAGGCTTAGAATGATAATTAATGATCTTTTTGCTAAAAATATATATAACAAATACTGGTCTATCTAAGTATCAAGATAACAAGGGTTTATACTTAAGTAAACACATTATAGGAAAAATCATGGCTTTCAAAACTGGATCAGACTGGTTGGTTGGATAAAAAAAACCGGAAACTGGTCAGGTGACCAATTCTATTTTATCTTAGAAGGCTACAACCATTGTTTCCCAAAAACCGTTGATTTCATTAGAAAGCCATTGATCCGGATAATCAAACCGTTCAACAATTTTTCCGATTTTTATTTTTTGTTAATTTTTTTTATTTCTTTTGTCAAGATGAACTGTCCGTTTAATTCAAATAATCGGACTGTTCAACTCGAAAACCTGATCTGATCGATTCGTTGTCCGATTCAATTTTAAAAACCTTGGAAAAACCATGATGATGTCGCTTTGAAGGAGAATCCATCAGAGACACATGTTTTCTCTTTCCTTGTGAAAAATAAAGAAAAGGGTCTCTCTAGAGTTTGCATCAGAATGTTGTGGATTCCAGCCTCCATGGTTGAATTACAAGTGTATTACAGTTTACAGGGCTACCTTCTACTTGTGGAAGGCTAGAAGATTCTGGTTCTGGTCAATAAAAACCTCAAGAGTGGTTGATGATTTGATCGGTGTGATGAGACCGTTTAGACTTCACAAACCATCAGACAGAGGAGTTTCTTAGAACCCTGTTCTGTTCTAGATATGCACAAACCCTTTGAGCTCCAAAGTCCAAGAGAGGGTTTCATGGAAAAGCATGTCACCCAATTCGACACGTGTCCCCCACCTGTAAGCAAGATAATCTCAAACGTTCAGAATTTCTTACTAACACTCCTATCAGCCGACACGTATAATATTCTCATGTCCTCGCTTGCTCTATAATAATGTGTTGCACTTTCACTTCACGCCTATCCAAACTCTCAAATAGAGATAAAGGAAGCGAAGTCAGAGAGCTTACAGTACTCCATCTTCCTTGAAGTCTCTCTCTGTCTTGTAGTTGTGTGAACTGTGAAGTGAAAACTAGGGAAGAAAGTGCAGAGAGAAAATGGCTCTAGCAGTTGGAAGAAACATAGCAGCGCCATTGTTGTTTCTCAACTTGATACTGTATACTTTGGTTGTGGGCTTTGCTAGTTGGTGTCTTAATAGGTTCATCAATGGCCAGACAGGCAATCCTGGTAACAAAACCTCTCTTTTTCTCTCTCTCTCTCTCTCTCTCTCTCTCTAAGTAATCACTGGATGGGCACTTGGCCAAGCTGGCCCAGTTGAACCCTAATGCCACCAGGCAATCTAGCTGGAGCCAGCGCCAGACGACCCCAGTCCTCAGAACTAAGTTTATAAAGTGTAAAGGGTATTATAGAATACTACTGATAATCCTTGTCTCTGTTTAAACATTATTGATCGATCAGGGTTTGGAGGAAATGGTGCAACTATATTCTTCCTGGTATTTTCCATATTGGCTGGCGTGGTCGGTGTGGCTTCAAAATTTGCTGGAAGCAACCATATGAGGGCTTGGAGGAACGACAGCCTTGCTGCCGCTGGGTCTTCATCGCTCGTGGCATGGGCCGTGACCGCCTTGGCGTTTGGGTACGTAGGCACCCCACAACACAAGTATTAGTCTTTCTCTTCCGCCATATCTGTATGATTGATTGTTCATGTGTGCACATATGCTCTGTAGGTTGGCATGCAAGGAGATAAGTATAGGAGGATGGAGGAGTTGGAGACTGAGGATACTGGAAGCTCTGATAATAATTCTGACCTTCACCCAACTATTGTATCTGCTACTGCTTCATGCTGGTTTAGTAAGCAGCAAGTATGGCCCAGGCTATAGGGACACTACTAACTACGGTCTTGGGGCTGCTGAGGTTGAGCCGGCTCATAAGGTTGGGGGTATGACTGGAGTTAGGGCGTAGAGAGTAGAGAGCCCCCAAGTTCAGCAGCTGGAACAAAGCAGATAAAAAGAACTGGTTTTCATCAGCTCCCATATTTAGTTCAGTTCAGTTGATCTTGAGTTGTGTGTGGTTCAAGTAACTGTGTCTTTTGTTTCCTTTTGTTTCCTTCTTTTGCTTTTGTTAGTAGCATGTGGTTAAGTGGCTCTTTGGTTGTGGAGTTGTTGTTTCTTCTATATGGAGACTTTAACTTTCTGTAGTTACTTAACAAAGACACTTGGTGGCCTCCTAACCGAAGGTCTTCGGTGGTGTAAATGTGCAAGTATATATTGGACAATTGGTTTTTGTATTTTTCTTATGCTTTTTACTGGTCACATTTTCTTTGAGGCTTGTTTGGCGAGATTCTGGCTTGAGTGTATTGACAAACGGCTCCTTCAGAGAGGATTTTGTTTTGGTGTTTTGGATTTTACTTCCTTCATGTCATTTGCAAATTACTGTTGTGTAGACAGCAGACTAAATAGAAACTTGAGGGGAAGTTATATAAGAATTTTATAAAGGTCCATGAGAACTTTATAAAAAATATATAAAAAATAAAACAGATTATAGAAAAAATTTAGGAGACATGAATAATGATTCTAATTAATTCACCCGGAGTCATGACTAATTTCGGGATCAACCGGTCTGACCGCCCGTTCCAGTCCAGTGCCCATTCATGAGTTTCATTTTGCCTTCATAAAAAACCGACAAATCAACCCATTTCTATCAAAATGAATTCCTTGACAGGCGATTAACAATGTTTTAAAACTTAACCGGAACCCAAACCACTCGAATGCAGCATATAATATATGAAAAATATTTTATATTTAATTTATGTTTTTAATTTAGTTATAAATTTTTTTATTTGTAAAAAATATTAAAATTTGTAATTTGAGATAAAAAAGATTTAATTTTTTTTTAAATAACGGGGCAAAGCAATTATAAGGCCAGAAAAAATTATCCAAAATAAAAAATGAATCATATGAGATCAAATGGATTAACTGGCCGAGTCAAATTTAATGGCATTTTTTAATTTATTTAATTTATTAAAAATTAAAAAATGGTTAAAAATGGGTGGGTGGTATTGAGTCTATTTGACCATTATTTACATTACACAATTGAAGTGGAACGGGATCGGATCCTCGCACTTGGGCACCTCACGGTGGACTGAACAGTGAAACATTAGTGTTAGATTTTTGGTTAATGAAGGGGAGATGAAGATTTATTGGGTGGACTGAACATTAAAAAACCCCAGTTTATTGCATGATCTGACAGAGTGACAAAGATGCAAGAGAGACTGACAAAATTTTTAAGTAATGGGGTTTGATATAGAGTTCAGCAAGATCCGTTCCGCTCTATTTGACATATGATATTCCCAATGTAAGGTTAGGAGAAGCTGTTCGAATGGTGTGATCAGTGAGCACTGACTTGCACCGATTTCTTTGATATATACTGATTTGAAGGATGGTTTTTAAAACGAACCGGTGACTAAACCGGCAGGGTCTGGTTACCGGTTCAAATGGTTCGACCGTTTGACCTGAATGGCCAATCCGTTCTGACAAAAAATAAGAAAATTTGAAACAATAAAAAATTGAAAAATGGTTAAAACCGTTCGAATGATTCAAACGGAATTGATCCGGTTTGGTCCGACCGGACCAGTTTTAGGTCACCTAAAAAGCGGTTTTAGGTGACCGGTTCCCGGTTTTTCTGATCCGACCGTCCGATCCGGTTCGTTTTTGAAAACAGTGATTTGAAGCATATTAAAGTTCTTTAATTAACAAAACATTAGCAGGGTCTCCGCTATCGGCTATGATGCTCACAAGGTCAGTTTGTGGAAACTATGATGTCAGTTTTTTGTTTGAAAATCTGTTATTTATTGGTCTTAACCTGGTGGAATGTTTTCGGAAAGTATAGGATATTTATATAATTTTTTATTTGATATATTTGGACCATCAAAAGGTAATTAATTAGTTCTTTAAAATAATTAACAGGAATTATAATATTTTATTTACTTTTTTGTAATATTATAATTATCATGGTTTTTGAATTGCCGTTGACTTAGATAGTCAGATCGTTTGGCCCGGGAACTATTTAGGCAATCGATTCCGTTTTATTTCAAATCTGGTCTTTGGCCAAAAACCTTTGAATCAGTCAATGATCTTTTGACTTTGGTAGTCGAACCGTTGACCCGTCAATTCATTCAACGGTTTTAGCCATTTTTAATTTTTGTTGTCAAAAAAAACTGTCCATTCGAACCAAATGATTGAACCATCAATTCAAAAACCGATGGCTAGAACAGTTTCATTTTCGGATCGTTTTTTAAAATGTATATTATCTAATTTTAATTAAGTGAAGGGACCTTGCTAGTTTTATAGGGGCTGGTTTCTCCTTCCGCCCCATTCATTTTCACTTCGAGCAAATGCTTCTCAGGTAAATTTTGTCCGGGAAAGTTCAGTTTCAGTGTTCTTGTGTCATGTGTGATACAGGTTATCTGGGTAAAGGGAGAGGCAGGAGGGAGGGAGCGTTATTTTAGAGCGGGTAGTAATTGATACTCTTCATTCACTTACCATGAGATTCAATATAGTGGCAAATGAACGTGGGGATCGAGATTTATCGATTTAACCCTTACTAAATATAATACTGGAAAACGAATGGAGTCGGTTTATCAACTTAACCCCTGCTAAATACTAGCAAACGAATAGAGCCCTAATAGGTTTCAGGCTTAAGTGCTGGGATAGCTCAGTTCATTTATAGTCCTACCAAGTAGCAACAGCAGAAGCAGTTCTTTTGGCTAAGGAACTCAACGTAATTACGCAACGTTTGAAAAGTGTGGATAGGATCAAGTGTATATTGCTTCAAGTAGAAGAAGCTATGAAAAAACAAAAAGTTGGAGATTGTGGAGCAATTCTTAATAGGGTATGTTATGTATTAGAGTTTTTGGCATATATAAAGGATCCAAGAAGACAACCAAGCTACATAATTTATGGCAGGATCTGGGCATCTAGATAACGATTCCTTGGGGCGTGCTCTCCTCCGTCCCTTTTTGTTAGAAAATTAGAGAAAGGAAAATGGAACTTACGGGATGAAGTAGAAAAATGATTGTAGTGAACTGAATTAAAGAATGATGGGTGCTGAATATTGTCATTGATCACTTTTCTTAAAATTGCATTTGTTAAATTTAGGTTTAATTTGGAAGGAGTAAGGTTCAAAATTTTGTCACCTATCGGCCCGTATCGGTCGATACATATCGTTTTGGCAAGTTTTCGGCACGGGACATGGTACCAAATTGAATGTACCGTATCTATTCATTGTATCGATGCCATATCATGTTTGTATCGTTGAGTATCGGTGCGTTTCGACACCGTATCGGTCGATATAGTATGATTTTACTGTGGTAGAATCGCAAATAAAACTCCTTTACCCTTCAAAAAGCTTTTTAACCTTTCTAAAGACTCGAATCTTGTAAAAAATTTCCAAAACATCTATAAATTTGCAAGATTCAATAAGTTTTTCAAGGTTGTGAAAAAAGGAGCGAAAATAAATATGTTTTTTCAAAATTCTTTTACATTTTCAGCCAATGTTAGACAAGATAAGGGGAAAGAAAGTGGTTTGCCCCTTGCCCCTTCGGCTGGGGGGCTTTTTCCCCTAGACCCCCCGTCCCCCTTTTCGATGTAGCCCAATTTATTTTTTTTGAGTTAGGGGGGTCTTGCTTCGCTCGCTCGCCTCCGCTTCGACAATACCCCCCTTTTAACAACTGTTATGCATTTTTATTGTTCTTATTATAAAAGATTTTTATTAAAGATAAAGAAAAAAAAATGAAATCCCCCCTTCCACCTTCCTCCTCTTAAGGAAGCTTTCATCTCCTTGTGTTCGAGAGGCTTACGCCTGTTGCATTCTAAATTATGCTTCACGCCTCTAAGTAGTGAAGCACCTCTATGTTTTAAAACATTGATATTTATTTTTTTTATTTTTAGAATAAAATATGCAAAATAATTATTTCATCTATTATGTCCATAAATTCATTCAATTTTTTGTTACATATTTACTTTTCTTAATTTTAATTTAATTTTTACAATAAAACATGCAAAATAATTATTTGAATAAATATAAATAATTATTTAGTTTCTAAAAAATTAGAATAAAACATGAAAAATAATTACTTGATCTATAATGTCCATAATTAGATAATATGTTTCTGTTCCCGACTTCCCGTTTATTGATTATAATATGTTTTATTTTTCATAAAACCTACTAAAACATGTTATTTTTATGCATAAATAGCTCATTTATGTTATATTTAGTGATATTAATGTTTATTTATGATTTATTAGAGTATTTATAGCATTTCCATGTGTTTCCATGCGTATCTTAATTTTTCGTCTGTATCCATGCGTATCCAAGGTGTATCCCGATACGTCTCTTAAATTTGCCTTTCCAATACACATAGCATTTATGATACTTTGAACCTTGGGAAGGAGTATAAATACAAATATATAGCGTGCAAACATTGTATTTTTTGTATGTATTTATACTTGTACTCTTTTAGGGTCAGTTTGGAAGGAGTACAAATGCAAATTTGTAGAGTGTAAAACCTTATATTTTGTATTATCTTGTATGTATTTTCACTGTACATATTTGTATTTATACTCTTTCCAAACTCAGTTTAGAAAGAGTATAAATGCAAATATGTATAGTACGAATAGATACAAAATACAATAAAATACAAGGTTTTGCACTCTATATATTTGTGCTTGTACTCCTTCCAAATTGAGCCTTATTAAATTTGTGTTAAATTTGTATATCCACATATTGTCTGATTCTTTATTATAAGAAGTTTATAGACACTAGGGCAAATAAAAGAGAGACCAAGGTAAGAAATGTTATTTTGAAACATTTGAAACAAAGTGTTAAAAGGCACAAAGAATTAAACAAGATATAGAAAATACAAAGGAAAACTGGGGGCCAAAAGAACAAAAAGCATACAAAGAGGGAAGAGAGGGGAGAAAAATTAAATGTATTTTAATACTACAATAAATACAACACTTTTATCTTTTATACAAGGAAGCCAAACTTTCGGGTTGATCAGTACAAATTGGTAATAAATATTTATTGACACATCACATGTGAGAATTATTTTAACTAGAATGATTAGACTTCACCCCTCAAGCAAGAAACACCAATTTAATCTTTCTAGAAACAGCTTTTAACACATGCATTTTTAAGATATGCCTACTTTAACCATAAATAGCCTCAAAATAAGAATTGTATGTGAATTTATGTTGATTAACCCAAGACATTTTTGGTAGAAATAGCAATGATG